GGTCTCCTGATGTCAGAAATGAACTTTTTGGGCTGCCTACATAAAATATGCTATGTGTACTTAAAAGAAAAATTACCATTGATCTGAATGCAACAACTCTGGGGTGAAACGCAGAACTGGCAACATTATGCTGTGTGCATATGATTCTTTAAAAACACAAAAGCTGGAACGTTAACACAAATCCAGAAGGAGCTAAATACAGATTATTGCCTAAAAAGACTTTTAACGACTTAGCACTATGATAGAGGATCATTTCCAAAAAAGGTAGCAGGCCTAAACATTTAGACAAACGTATATACCTTGTTTTTCTTTCATTTAAAAGCTTTGTTTTAGTCTGCCAGTTAAATGCCCAGTCAAATACATTAAAATTGCAGTTACAATGTGATAAAAATGAAAAAGATGTAGAAGCCGTATAAACGCTGTCCATGGTCCTGGGTACAACTTTAAAGGTTTAGACACATTTGGAGTAAGATTAGTTTTGAATTCAGAAAGTAATTTGAATACAAGACCCAGACTGGCACAATTGAAGCAGAAAAAGAATTTTACTTGATTTATGTTTGTATAAATCAACCTAGAACAAGGAATAGTTTGAAATCAGCTCACCATTTATCTGTTTGTGAGGAGTGCCTGACACAGGTAACAGATCTGGGGAATACATGAGCCTTCTAACCAAAGAGACATCAAGCTGCTCCATACCAGGCCCAAACATTGCATAGCGAGGTTCAGAGGATGGCACCAGGTACTGAAGAAAAGAGGTAAGAAGCTCGTATGCTGGCCGGGAGGGCAACCACTGCTGTCTGCAGGATGGACAACCTTTTAGGTATCTGGCAAAACAAAACACACATTTAGAAACAAAATATACATGAAGTAAATGGTCCGAAATTAGCATTGATGTATCAGAAAATGCACCTACTCTGACATGTAATCGGATTTCAGTTCCCTGTTTGTCTCCGCCCCTTCCTCTCTGTCTTCCAAGCTTTCATGTTCACTAACTAGTGGAGCATCCAGCATGTCTAAATTGGGCATAGTCAGATGATCGATGGAGGACCAGTGTGGCATGTCTCGCAACAGGAAGTATCTCCACAGTAACGGATCTCTCACCATGGCCCTCCAGTATCGACAGGTGGCTCCAAGGTTACAGATATCCACAGGAGAGAGAAAGGTCATGATGAGAAACTTTATGTCCACCTTTAGAAAAAAAAAAAACCCATAAAATACTGTTTTTAGATTTCTTTCACGCCGGCAGAACTCTGGGATTGTTAGTGTTATTAAGGGTTATCTGGTGGCTGTATACCCAAAGTAAGCTCTGACCCTATCCCTAAACCTTTACAGGGCTGATCTGACCTTGCTCTTGTCTTTTGCTGCTAAGATAAAGGGGAGAAAAACCTCTCAAAGTTTTTTAATTAGTTATGAGTCAACGTTCTAATGCTGACCATGGACAAAACAACAAGATCATAGATGGAAGTTGCTGAAATAACTTCCTCTGTGTGCTGATTGGGCTTAACAAATATGGGCATTCTTAAAAGAGAACATTGCATGTTTTTACATAAAGTTACGCTTGTTTTGCGAATATATAAACTTATTATTAAATTATTAAAAAATTACTTTTGGTCAAACAGGGTCTTCACAGCTTTAGAAAAAAGGGTCTATTTATTTTTGACATTATGTTGGTGAAGCTTTTTTCTGTAAAAAGTGGGATGAACTGTTCATTTCCCAGATTGGTTTAATCAGTGATAATATGTCCGTCCCTTTTACGGACGGATGGCATAAACTAAATCCAGATCCCCTGTGTCTTCACCACCTGTATACCACATTGTCACACTAAGACACGGGAACCTTTCAATTGTGGATGTATTTGATGAAATCTGTTCCTGAAAACATAAATCCCTCTTTTTTCCATTTCCAAACACACCAAATAAAGCAGAACTACTAACTCTTAGATTTAGGGGTTCATAACGATTAAATCGTGTTTTGGGCTTGTCAACATCACTGTAAAAAGTAATAAAACCGTTTTTGGCATTTTTTAAAATCATATTTAGTTACTTTAACACAATTGTTTCATTTTAGCAGGTTAGGACATAAAACAATTGTGTTAAGTAACTAAATATGATTAAGTAAATGCCAAAAGCGGATGCATTATTTTTTCAGTGATTTAGTCTGCACATACATTCATCAGAAGTTGTAAACACAGAACTGTCAACGTGTTTTATTGGAATTTAAGGATCTTTTCATCTCCTAGAAAAACAAGCCAGCTTTTCCCTAAAATAGGAATGGAAATGTTATTTTTAAGCCCTTATGTCTTAAAATGTATAAATGCTTATACATTTTTTGGTAAAATACCAGGTTTAGAAGCTACATTACCTTTTCTTTTACTTATCTTCACATAATGCCAGACTAGCTTGCTTAGTTTTAGGCTTAAGAAGTAGGTCTACACATTTAATAGACCACAGGTTGGTATAGATAGGAAGAGTCTACTGACATGGGTGGAGCAAGATGGGGGGCCAGGGGTGGCCATGGCCACCCCCAGCCAATCATCGGCCACCCCCTTGGCCACCCCTGCCATTTTAGTAGTTAATTGGTTCACATCAGTATACTAACATTAAAGATAAGTACAGAATTCATGCTCTTTTCAGAACTAAATTTTGTGTTATATATGGAGTAAAAATGATAAAAAGAGAATGATGTTTCAGCAAGTCATCCAGGAGTCTTCAGTGAAATCACAAATAAATAACTATTTTATTAACGACTTATAATCAATTTATGCAGGTATAAGTACTTATAAATATAAATTTTATGCAGAATGATTATTGATAAAAGTATGTAAGTAATGACAATGGAAAAGATGTTTGTCCCAGAAATCTAAACTGAAGGAATTTTATCCACTATACCATTTATCTAGAAAGCACAGATTTTTAAATATATGCGTTTATTTGTTAGCAAAGGCTGTAAGAAAGTATAGTTTGTCTTTATTTTTAAAATGTGGATCATGTTGGAACAGTATAGATTGACCCTGAGGTTTTTTTTGTTTTGTTGTTTTTTTACAGTGTCCTGTCTGGCAATATGGCAATAAGAATAATTGTCTTGATGCCAAAAATAGCCCAACAGATTTAGCTTTCACAAGTGGAGTAGTACAGCTATCGTCATAGTTTTCCACTTGATTTATGCATATAAATAGCTTAATTATAATTCATGCAGGGAGTTTTATAGATTATAGGGACACTGCAATGTAAATAGAACAGGAAAGGAAAAACAGAAAAGATGACAACCGACCCAAAATGTGCTCTATAAATACACACTTCATCATTTTTCATCTTCAGCAGACATTCATATATTTTAGTATATTCTGCTGCAAAAGGAGTCTCTACCTTTAGTTTCACAGCCTTCCTCCTCACCCACGCTCTCTCCATTCATCTCCTGGTAGCAATCTTTACACACTGTAACCGCAAAGTCCACCTATTTTGGGAAGTTTTTTCCATTCTTCCAGCAACTCTTCTTTGCTTTTTCTTTTCTGGAATCCCCTTAAGTACCTGTTTTTGGTATCCATCATCGCTAAGACATTGTACGTAATGGTTATGTTTTTAATCGACGCTCTGGATTACCTTAGCAAAAAGTATTATACTTGAAGTAAATTCTATTAAGAATACTTGAGTATAAGTTTAGAAAGTATACCGAACAATGCACTTTAAGTGTACTTGAAGTATTACTAAAGTAACACTTCTTCTAACTAAATTGGGACATTTTTAAGTTTACTAAAGTATACTTAATGTAAATGTATCCATGATGATGCAGACAGTTTATTGATATAATTCATTGATATTGATATATGTATATATAGTTATTTACATTTCATATAAATTATTGTAAATATGATTCTATATTTATATTGTTTTACTGAGTGACACATGGTTTGATTTATTTATGATTACTCTCATGATTATATCTACAAGCTTGTTCTTGCGCTATAAGTAAACTCTAAGTGCACTGCCTGATTTTAAGTATGAGGTTAGTGAACTTTTAGTAAACTTGAATTAACTACTTTTTGCTAACTCCAAGCCGTATTGTAAAAAAAATGAAATACTCAAATATTTTGTTCTTTTAAGATCTTTATTGCGTTCTTGAAACATATTATAGGAACGTACTTTTTTTTTTTTTTTTTTACAAACCGTCTAATGAACTATACACAGTTATTAACACAGTAATTAAAAGTACCACTGACTGCTTTGCTATTGGTGTCATCCTGTTGAAATCTGCCTTATGTTGGGGTATAAATAAGTCCGATCAGTCAAAGTAATGTCAGGTGGGCTTAAGAGGGATTGTTCGCAACATTACATTTGCAACGAGACGTCCTAATTCACAATAGCGTACGGGGCCAATTGCATTCTCTGCTTACCGATATTCACACCATTGCTTTCAGCCACCCTTTAGTGTACATTGGTTATTGCCTGGCCACCCTTATTAAAATGTTCTGGCTACGCCTCTGTAAAATTATATTATGCCAAAAACGTTTATTTAAAAATGTCGATACACCCTTTGAATGTGAGAGGGAAAAAATAAAAATAATACACATAATGCTTTTTAGCTTTCGATTACTTGTAAATTCCCCCTTTAGCTACCATTGCCAATTCTTGTTTGACTTACTGGTAAACTGTCCAAATACCCAAAGTGTGATCCCTCTGCTTCTTGTTCCACTTCAGACGTCAAGGATTGTCCATTTTTCTCTGGAAAATATCGCTCACTGAACCGCCTGAAGCTGCGAATAACCACAGATCTTAGCTGCCCGTGTCTCTCAGCCATGGCTTCAACGGTAGAAGCGAATGACAAGCTGCTTCCAACTCATCCTACGTTTCCAAACAACTTAGACTTTACCTGTTTGTACTTCCTTGTGAGTGGCAGTAATGGAGGATTATGGGTAGTGTAGTTTTACACATAGAAGAAGCAAGCAATGTTTTTTTTTATTTTCTTCAAACAATACAAATTATATATCAGAAAAAAACGCTTTCTGAAAACAAATCATATCTTTATTGTCAACAAAGACATAAAAAACGGATTTCTCTTCATCAAATAACAGGCTCTGTATTAATAGCTACACAGCCGATATTATTCAAGTGGAGTGGAAGAAAATTTATTTTCATTATATATAGGAAAACAGAAGAATGGCATGAACACAACTAAACATACATAAAATTGGTCATTGGTTCTGAAACAACTTGTTTTATCTATTATGTGTATATTTTATACACACATATTAACCACAACTACACCTTAAACACAAAAAATTGCAACAAAACAATAAATAATATGTTACGTGCAATGTTACATATCCTGCCAGATTATCTTTAAATCTGAAACAAACCTTTAAAATTAGAGATGGTCATTTTATTTAAATAATACCTTCTGAATATTAATAATAAAATTATAACATCTTTAGAGCAAAACAACTGCTCCAAGCACTATTCAGGATGAGTTCTGCTTAGTCAGCAGAAAAGAAACAATTGCTGAGCTTCTTCTCTTTATCACCTTCGTTTTTCCTCCAGCAGTATTTTCTAAACTCACATTCACATGCTCCTGGCCCCCTCCACACCCAAATTCTTTGGGTGTAAGAAAATCCAGACCTCTTCTTCAAATAAACTTGCATGTTCCCCTCTTTTACCTTCTACAACACAACACCTCTTTCATGGAGCTCCATATTTATTAGGTTTGACACAACTGAACACTGACCTGTGCCTGGTGGTAACTTTTACATAGGAGCAGTTTATTTCACTGTAAAACACTAAGGATTTCCTTGGCATTTTCCGTATTCCAGCCCTGCCCCTGCAAAGGGCCCTCGCAGGCATGCACGTATTTGTTCAGTATCTGAGTACCGATGTCCCGAAACTGAAGGCCATCTAATCTGTGCTCTGTGGAGTCACCGCTGCAGTCCTCATACTTCACAGCCCAGAAACACATCTCTCCAATGTACATCATTGTCAGAAGGTGAATGTCAGAAAAAATGCCTTTCAAAAAACATAACGGAGTAAACGTGTGAGGAAGAAAAAAACAACATGAGTAAAGTTTTTATTAGGCAGAGATGAACATATTTACCTTCAGATAAAATGCTTGCTGTAGCGCCTTCATGAAGAACCACCCCATCGCTGAGCTTCACTGTGTTTCTTACTTGTAGCATTCGCATCAAATATCGAACGCCTTCCTGAATACACTGGATCAAAAAATTTATTGAGTTTAACATGGTATGACGAGAAAAGTCTCAAAAGCATTATAGTGACATACTAAATAGTCAAGGGACTTGAGATTTTACTCCTTGACCTTTCCAGATTTGGTTATATCATAGAGAGGAACTTTTTTGCATTTTACTTGGAATTTGTGTGTTTGCCCTTGCACAAAGTGGATGACTATAATAATAAGGGGGTAGAACGGATATACATGGTTGCCATTTTTTTTTTTATGCAAAGGAAAAAATGAAGGGGGAGGGGGGGGGGGGGGGTATGTATTCAGCTCCTCCTCCTCGGCCAAAGCTTGTAGAAAGATTTGATAGCACCAAGAGTTGCGACCATTAGGCTATGTCTCTACAAGCAACACCAAAGACTGTCTTTCATTTTCCCTGCTTTGCAATGGATCCACAGACTGAATGGGAGCACCTGTAAATAATAAACATGGGGTCTTGAATTTAAAAAGGTAGACCAGATCAGTCTTGCAACAGTTTAATAAAAATATTTGAGTTTTGACATTAATAACCAATTTATATACACCAATAAAGGTTTGATATAAACTCTCCTTGAAGAAACTGGGTAAAGGTTGGCTACAACTACACATCATTTCAATGGGAAACTAATAAACTAATTGTTGCAATTAAATTTATTTCCACTGTACACTTGTCTTTGTTGTTCTTGTCAACAAACTTGTTGTTCTGGCCTTAATATAGCTGTTTATGGTTAAATAACATGAAGATGGACTGTTTACTTAATATCAATGTTATAGCTGGAACTGGGCTTTGTTTAAAAATGATCAGCATTAAATGTGGAAAATACAAATGCACAGCACACCATTTTGAGTTTTAGAAGTACCATGTATAATCATCCCTTTAATCCTAGTTTGTACAGGTCTATTTAGTAAAGTCCCAAATAAAACCCAATGATTTCTGTGGGTACAGGGTGACAAAATGTAAAAAGGCACCCAGAGTATGAATCCTTTTCAAAGGCAGTCTCCATTTAGAGTGTGGTACCTTTATGAATGTGTCCTTGTTTTTCTTTATCCATTGCTTTCGCTGATGAAGGGTGTGGCAGTACATGTACAGCAGAGCTCCACGTCTCCAGTAGAGGCACTCCAACATCTCTGTGCCCAACATACACTGCACCTATCAAAGACCAAAACACATGAATAGCTCCGTGTTTCAGGGTGCAAAGGTACAAAATAATGTTACAGAGATTCTGAAAATCAATCAAAGAATGAAGCAGCCTTAAATCACAATGGAAATACGCTCTTATTAGATGATAGTGTCTTCACCTTTAGTGGGCTTTAAGGACCACCACTTACACATATAGACTGTGTCATTTCAGAATGCGTGAAGAAGACAGTAGAATAAGACACAACCAAAAAACTCTAAGAAAACCATGCTGACCTCCTGTCCAGGTGTCAGTCTGCCCACTAAAACTTCTGGCTCAGTCAAGTCTTGCAGCAGCTGCTGGATCTTAACCGGCGAGGAGTCCTCAGGGAATTCCTGATCTACCAGTTGATTCTCTTCATAAAAAGTGATGTCAAGTATCGCCTGCATAGAAAAAACAAAAATCTCTATTAGAAATAAATGTTCTAATTCTACAACAAAAGCTCAATTAACTTAAAAGCCTTGAGAAGCTAATAGATAAACAACTGTAAGTAGCTTGAGACAGACGCCCTTACTAAACCAGATTTATACATATCTGAAGTGATTTTAATTTTCTCTGTGAGGCTAATAGTTTCTTTTATTAAAATCAGCACAATGACTTCTTCCTGTTTATCTAGAAAAAGTAAGTAAAATCTGTGTTTTTTGATGTGAATGTGCCTTTGATGTAGATTCTGCAAAAAAACAAACAAGGATTTAGACTGAAGTAAAATGGATTTTTGTATCAAAAACATGGCTTTTCTCTTTAAATCCCTTTATAATCATGCTCAAATTTTTCTTCAACTGTTTTTGTAGATTAGTTGCAAAACATAACACGCTTTGCACCATCTAAGCCTAACAAGGGGTGGCTGCAGCAAAAATGTCCTTTTCCCAACAGAAATACTTTCAACTTCATCCACTTAATGCTGTTTTGTTTATATTCAAAATATTTGTGGGTGCTAAGTGTGGGCAAGTATGAATCTATGGGGGACTTATAACTCGGACCTAGACTCAAATAAACTAGACCCCTACAGGACCTTTACCCAGTAAATAGCATCTCTGCACTGATGCAACGTTTATCTGGGGGAAACCCCCAGCAATGTCTACATACATTTATACAAGTAAGAGTTGATTTAAAAAAAAGAAATCTTTAAGATAGCAGTTGCTCGAATTACACAGATAATTTGAAAATGAAACACAAAATCACAAAATCAAGGATTGTCCATCTCCTCCCGGAAGGTTCCTAAAATTATTCTGAAGTTGAGCAATTTCTCTAATCAAATACGTGTTATTTGTTGTGTTACAAATCTTTTTATTATTGTTATTGCAGAACCCAAACCTTGTTATTACAATGGACTACCATCAATTATTGGTGCCAAAGAGAGTTTAACTTAATCGACTCTCACTGAAAAATGTCTTGCCATTTGGCAAGTGTGAGAAAACGTACTATGGATAGATGGTTAGGGTCAGATATAATTTGATCATTTCACTGTTTGTCAAATGTTTTACATTTATCCCTTGAAATGCATGCTCATGATTACAGGGCCAACAAAAACACATACAGGATATATAGTATGGGTGTATGTGATACCAAATGGTAATTTAGAGAGAGAACAAGTAATCAAGAGGCAGCTGGAGCACCCCATAATAACTCAATTATGCATGAGGAGGAAATCCTAAAAACCCACAAAGAAAAATTCTGGCTAAACCTGAAACCTGGGATAAAGAGCTAACAAATCTGTAATTGATCAAGTTTAAGCTTCACAACAATTTATTAGTAGCATTTAGTGAGTAATGGGTTAGTGAGTGAAAAAACAAAAACCTCTGTGTAATCCTGCAGGAGCTTGGAAATGTTAAAGCTTTCTCCTCCTTCTCTGTAGAAGCCTTTTAATTTCTCTAGCACAGCAGATGCATTCTGCAAATAGTCATCATCTATGGAAAGAAAGAAGATCAAATTACATTAGTATTTACAGAATAGACATAACATTAAGAATGGGTCTTGACACCCAGCACTCTTCAAAAGGGGTGTTTTTTTAGCATTGACAGCATAGTAACTAGATTTAAGGATATATGTTTTGCAAGCACCTTTTATCTACCGTGATCGTGCTTGTTTGGTTTTATTATTAGGACATGTGAACAGCTATACGCAATTCACATACACACCCCAATTTAAAGTCATTAGTATAAAAAACTAAAACCTTAAGTCAAGATTTAATGTTTGTCATTAACCAAAATAACAGTAAATACGAAAAACACCACGACTTAAACAGTAATATCTATTATAAAGTTGGTGCTACGCGGGTTAGTTCAAAATAACATAAATAAGTTGTCAAACAACAGTTGTTGCTATGGCTGCAAGCTAACGTTCGTTGGTTAGCTTCTTGGCTAAACAACACAGGAAAATTTTTCCTCTTCTTTAAATAAACTATTTAGGACAGTTACAACTCATAAATAATAGAACAAGATGCCTAATAGAGACCTTGGTTTTCAGCTCGGAGACATGAACATTTGTTGTCCAGCTCAAATATTCTCCTTTCCAACTCAAAATCTTGTCGCCTGTAGTCGTCTGCCATGACTACGTGAAGTGTGCGTCAAATGAGCAGGCGGTTACTGCAGAACGTAAACCGCTTTGGGTACTGTCACCACGACGCCATCGAAACGTCGACGTTTTTGGTCTCACGTCAGTGAGTACGCCATATTGTGAGTGGTAAGTGGTATTCAAATCTATTGCCATAAGGGGACAAAATGTCAGGTTTAACACCATGAGGGGGCAGGAGCTTTGAAATATAGCATATTAAAACTGCGCAAAGGGTTTTGTTTTTAAAAAGATTTTCTAACTCAACAATGAGCTTTTAAAAAATAAATTTAAATGTGAAATGCACAGTAGTCCAACTGCTTTTGAAAAGAGATCTGTAACTCACCTTAAATTTAAATATTAAAGTAGGTCTCCCTTGTTAAAAAAAGAGTAAATGATATACATTTCTTTTTAATTTTTGGTGTATTTTTTCCAGCAAGTACATGGTATATTCATTTATTAAATTAATTTTGACAGCTCTAAAAAATGGCCCTTCCAAGTCTTTTCTTTGCTATATGTTACTGGCTTTCTGTTTTTTCTTCTTGCAATTAAATGAAATTACAAGTTAAAAACATAACGGATAAAATAATATGTTGCAAGTTACGTTATTCAGTTTAAGAACGTTTTAATTTTTTGTGTCATTTCTGAGAGAAAAATTTAATTTTTTTATATTTTTCTTTGAAATGTCAATCTGCTTTAAAGGCAAAATTAATTGTATCCATTCTTGAATCCTTCCTCAGCAGACCTCAAATTATTTTCTTGTGCATGAATATTTGCCAAAATAGACAAAAGCAGGCAGATATCATCATTGCTAGGGAGAAAAAACTTTGGATTGCCACACAATCAGATGGACTTCTAAAGATGAAGCTTGGGATGTAAATATGTTAATTGTTTCTTACAGGTTTGGGTAGATTTTGTTTCACTCATCTCCCAGTTAGTGCTCTTCAACAGTTGTTCTTGTCATTTTAAAATTCTCAACAAAAATGCAATATTATTTGTTTGCAATACCCAAATTTGACTCCACTTTATTTAGTTCAACTATTTGTATAAAAAAAATTAAAGACTTCCATTTGTCTCTAATAAGACAAATGAAATAAAAGTAAAGGCTAAATAAGCATTTAAGGTAAGTGGAATTTAATTTATGTACAGATATTAAAGGAATCCGATAAAATAAATACAATATGTTAGGAAAGATTGTACACAGAAAAAGACAGCCATCTATATAAACAATAAAACGAAGTAAGTGCATGAAGTGGGAGAATGCAATTCTGAATAGTGATTGAATATTATAGGAAAAATTGGTCTGATGCAAGTTTTTGTTTTATTTTATATGAAAATTCGTATGTTTGTCAACTCTGTGGAAATTAAATAGGCATTGTTTGTCCCTTAACGGATATTATGAATTTATTTTTGCCTCTTCTTGTGTGCGTGAAATGATTTTGTAAATATTTAAATCGAAACTGAATTAAATTAGACTTCTTATTTAGTTTCTTAATATGGGAACTGCAGAGAAAGTTTGGACTCATTGAAGTTTGGAAAAGGCTTTTAAATTAACTTCTGTGAAACAATCTTTGATTGTGTTTCTCTCTTTTTAATTGCATTCACTTGGATCATGAATGCAATCACACACAACCACTCAACTGCTAATGGAAACTCTTGTATTTCCACAACAGTGCCACACACAACATGGTGGCAGCATTGAGTACAACCATAAAGGGTTTGTTCTTCTAATTTTTGACTTTTAGTGTGCATAAGCGGCGAATCCAAAACAAAGTTAATAAACACATGTTTACCATGGCATATATTTATTCAAACTGTCTGATGAAACTAGGTTTAAGGTAAATTACTGTCGGGTTTATTATTTGCAAAGCAGCAGCAGACCGGTGGTGTAAGGGTTAACATTAAATGAAAGGGTCATGCCTTTAAAACGCCCCCTTTGTGAGGTGCGTTCAGGGACGCAGACTCATGTCGTCGGGCTTTTAGTCACATTCAGCGTCCTTATAGCGCTCCACATCTCTGACCCTGTGTGTAAAACCTAAAGATGGCGACACTAAAAGCATTTTGCAGAGCAGAAAGTATCCTCTTCAGAAACCTCAAAGGTGACCGCAGAGCCAGATTAAACTGGGCCGGCCTCCAGCTCAATAAGGTCTGTAAATGAACTCTGACCTTAATGTATAGCGCAAGTAAAAGATGTCATGGATTATCCTTCTATGTCGTGCACATTTAATAGACCACAGGTTGGTATAGATAGGAAGAGTCTACTGACATGGGTGGAGCAAGATGGGGGGCCAGGGGTGGCCATGGCCACCCTCAGCCAATCATCGGCCACCCCCTTGGCCACCCCTGCCATTTTAGTAGTTAATTGGTTCACATCAGTATACTAACATTAAAGATAAGTACAGAATTCATGCTCTTTTCAGAACTAAATTTTGTGTTATATATGGAGTAAAAATTATAAAAAGAGAATGATGTTTCAGCAAGTCATCCAGGAGTCTTCAGTGAAATCACAAATAAATAACTATTTTATTAACGACTTATAATCAATTTATGCAGGTATAAGTACTTATAAATATAAATTTTATGCAGAATGATTATTGATAAAAGTATGTAAGTAATGACAATGGAAAAGATGTTTGTCCCAGAAATCTAAACTGAAGGAATTTTATCCACTATACCATTTATCTAGAAAGCACAGATTTTTAAATATACGTTTATTTGTTAGCAAAGGCTGTAAGAAAGTATAGTTTGTCTTTATTTTTAAAATATGGATCATGTTGGAACAGTATAGATTGACCCTGAGGTTTTTTGTTTTGTTTGTTTTTTTACAGTGTCCTGTCAGGCAATATGGCAATAAGAATAATTGTCAGATTTTGCTTTCACAAGTGGAGTAGTACAGCTATCGTCATAGTTTTCCACTTGATTTACGCATATAAATAGCTTAATTATAATTCATGCAGGGAGTTTTATAGATTATAGGGACACTGCAATGTCAATAGAACAGGAAAGGAAAAACAGAAAAGATGACAACAACCGACCCAAAATGTGCTCTATAAATACACACTTCACACCAAGGACAGCATCAAGGACAATCACCTTTTAATTCACGGATAATTCCCTCATTGTGGCATGTAGCCAACGAGTTTTCACGGTGCTAATGAAGATTTGGAGGCTTCATTAAATCAGTTCAAGAAATCCATTTGTGCTCGTCGTGCCTGAAGGGAATTACAGTGAAAACTCGGACTGTTTCACCGACGCAAGTGGGACAGAAGATGGCGCCAGAGTCCTTTTCATCGAACATGGGACAGCGCATGGAACTGCATAACGGTGCAAACTGAAGGCTAAACTCAGCTGCATCTCACAAACACATAAAGGCAAGAAGATTGCATAAGAGCTACATTTGCATAAAGAAGCCATAAGGAGCTTGGACACTTTACAAGTTGGTGATCTAAGAAAGGGCAATTTTGTAAATGTGCTATTAGTTATTGTGTAAGTGAAGTGTGTGTTGATAGAGAGTAATAATAATAATAAGCACCCACATAACACATGTTTTGCAATGTTTTTAAGTATTTCATTGACTGTAACCTATATATGGTGTGATTTTCAAGATAACAAGGTCTGACTTAATTCCTTTTTGCAAGTATTTAAATAAGTGTGCTTTGAGGTTTAAAGTATAATTTCATTGTTAAATCTTATTTGAGGCATTTAAATTAATAAGGGGTTTAATCTACATAAGTATAGGTTATTTTAGAAAAACAATTCTAAAAATTATAAATAATCACACAGCAAGCAGCCATAGTATAAATAGGCTTACCGATTTATTAGATTTACATAATCAGTTTACATTTACAAGTGTACAACATGTCAGGACAAGGAGAGCTTACTGATCAAGTAGAAGAGCAGGTTACTGGTCAGGTTAGGGATAAAACTCGTGACAAAGAAGATTCCCGAAAGCAGCCTGAAATGAGTCAAGTCGGTGATACTGCTGAAGAACAGACAGTAAGACGAAGTGAAAGATCCAGAACTCTGACAGAGAAGGGTAGAGGAATGCAGGAGGAAAAAAATAAAGGTCTTCAAGACAAGTTCAGATATATGTATGGTAGATGGAGAAATCACGTTAAATACTCCAAGAAAACATAATCAGAAGCAACAGATAGAGTATCTGATGATATGCTCAGCCATGTCATCGATGACGTTCATAGTCTCTCTGCAGATGTCCAGTGTGTTTATAATGAACTTCGGACAATCGAAACTCCAGATCAGGAAACACGTCGGAAAGTTGATCTGTGTGTCCATGTATCTCAGTTCATCATAGACAGAGCCTTAAGACGACTGGGTGGGCTTACACCTGATGAAGAAGATGACTGGCCTGAAGCAGGTTCTCTGTTCAACTCTAGTATCAGTTCTCTCATCTCAGACTCGAAGAGGACCTCGCTACACACAAATGGGTCCACTGAAAGACGACAAGAAGCTGCAGCTGATGCCGCTGCAAGCCAAGCCGTTCTCAAGGTGTCACAAGAACAAGAACGAGAACAACGGGAAATACAGCGACTGAATGAAGAAGCTCAGAAGAGAATAGCTGAACAAGAGGCAGCAGTTGTAAAGCGTCATTTGGAAAGAGAAGCAGAGGAGTTGAAAATAAGAATGGAACAAGAAGCAGAAGAGTTGAAATGGAGAATGGAACGAGAAGCAGAAAATCTAAAAAGAAGAATCCAGAGAGAAGAGGAGAAAGCTAAAATCAAGGCTCAACTAGAAGCGGAACACACAGCTCTCCAAAGGATTCTGGATGAGAGGCAAAGAAAGGTACAGCATTTGGAGACAATGAAAGGTCTAAATGCAGCACAAGCGAGAATACAAGTGTATGACCAAGTGGAGGTCACAGAAGAAGAGAAGAAAGATATCATAATGAAGAGTGAATTGAGAACAGTCAATCAAGTGCCTGTTCCCACAAGTCCTCCATCCACGTATGTGTTTTCTGCACCAAGGACTGTGATCACCTCCCCAAATGAAAGTAC